TTTTTTTTTTTTTTTTTTTTTAAGAATAGTCTTTTGTTCATGATATTGAGTGATTGTGGATGAGTGTGTTGCTGTTTCAATGTTTTTGGTTCGTTCAAAATTTTTTGGAAGTGCTTACAAGTTTATTTTATTGTAATTGAGAAAGGAGACCAGACTTTTAATTGTGTTAGTGTTTAAATTTCTTAGTGCAGTAATCATTGAAAGAGGTGCCGGATGTCCGAACTCCATGATTTGCCAATACATGTCCACGTTTACTATTTTATTAATTGGGCATTCAAAGAAAATGTGATTTAAATCTTCGATCTGGCCGCATTCGCAATTTGGGGAGTCTTTTTTGCCTATTCTGTGCAGGTATTGGTTGGAAAGGAAGTGTCCGGTTCTCATTCTAGTTATTACAGTAATGTGTCGTCGATCTATGTAAGGGAATTTTTTAAACCATGTTGACCTAGGAAAGCTGTCCTGTACTTGAAGCACACAGCTGAAAAGCGGCCTATGTTGTGTAGTATTAGGCCTAAAACACACGACGCGGTTTCTGCCGAGTCGGCACCGATTCGGCAGAGGAGCGGCTCGAACACACACAGCGTTACCGTGCCTGACGGATCAAATTATTCAAAAATGTATAATCTCGCTGTTGCCAGTTGTTTGCGTACACTCACACCGTACACAATGGCATCTTCTGGTGACGAAGATTTTTGTTGGATTTTGTTAGAATATTCCTCTACGCGCATATCCCAAATCGCTTGCCTTACCTGAATTTCATTAATTAGTCTCTCAACGTTCAAATTTTCCATAATTTTATTTTCATTGGCAACACTGATGTTCACGAAAATCAAAAAACCGTACTTAAACCGCTCAACGTGTGTTTTCTTCCATAAGCGAACAGGGAATGATGCGCCGAGCGTGTGCCGACTAGAGTCGTAAAACCGCGCGCGGTTCATGATAGCCAGCTCGGCCACCGCGCGGGAAGCGCCTCCGACGCGACACCGTCTGGTTCATAGTTCATACAATAGAAGTGTAATAAACGAGACGCCGCTTCGGTGACCGAGTCGGCGGCCGACTCGGCAAAAACCGCTCCGTGTGTTTTAGGCCTTAGCCGCTTTCCAGCTGTGTGCTTATCAAGCGCGGTGCAGTACAGTGTTCTGTGTTTGAAACGCAAAAATTAGCAGCTCCCGAAGCGCAGTACGGCTGGAACACGAACACGCGATTGAAGCATATGCGCGCGGAAAAGCTCGATTGCGTGCTCAAAAGCGTCAGCTGGAAAGCGGCTATTCTATTCTCAAATTCTACTCAAATGGCATGTAATATTGACAGTTGAGTTGTAGAGGGCGCTTCTGTACTTGGATCTTTTTAAATTTTGGCGCGAATAACCGAATGTAATTTAACGTCAGAAGTTTACTTTGACGTTTTCTGGTAGTTTCTGTTTCTGCTTTAATGAAGAAATGGTGAATTGTTGTGTACCTTTATGCAATTCTGTAAACGCAGTACACAGATTTCCTGTAAAAAAAACCATTCTTTTTCACAAATGGATTATTGCCACACGAATAGATCGACATGTATCACCTTCTAGTAGAATATACAAGAAGCATTTCCGGAAAGAAGATTATGCACTTCCAAAGGAGTCTTTCTCTGCAAATCGTAAATATACACGCGTACCCCCAACTATCAGTGGCGTAGCCAAACACATACGCCAAACCAGACGTGGACGTCGGCGATATCCGAATTGCGAGGCCCTTTTTATGAAGGGGTCCATATTTCTTGCGACAAAAACTAGGGTTTCGCGAGACCAAAATACTAGTCTTGATCTTGTCTTGGTCTTGGTAGCAAGACCAAGACCAAGACCAAGACCAAGACTCTCTCTCTCGAGACTCTTTGTTTGTTCCTCTGTGTTGTGGAATGCTTTAGGCGGTATTTTTTGACAAGAAACGCTCTTGCTAGTAAAAATAGCCTGTGAACAAGACCAAATGCATGGTCGAAACGTTGGCATAATTTTTTCAGAAAGGGAGTTTTATTTCCTATTTCTGAAGTCCTAAATAACCCATTATCGCTGCTCTCTCGTTATATGTTATGTATATTCTAAAAATTTGGTTACATTTTTTTCAAGACTATCAAGACCATACCAAGACTGAGCCAGTCTTGAAACATCAAGACCAAGACTGGCCAGTCTTAGTCTTGGTCTTGGTCTTGGCCGCCTAGCTACGCCACTGCCAACGATGTTCAACATTGTGCTAATAAATTTTCGATGATTTTAGTTAAACTAAGGCTAAAAGCGGAATCTGTTCCGAGTATTTTCGACTGGACCGCTAAAGACACCAAACCGTCTAGCTCATATTGTCGCCCTAATATCTTGGTTAAGAAAAGAAAAGAGTTTGCTGTACAACAATCAGAAGTGAGTGTTGCACAAGGAACCGATGAAACCAACGCTTCTTTAGACACAGGCGGAAAAATAAATCATTTTGGTGAATCAAAAACTCCTTCTTTCAACAAATTGCGAGATTCTAGTGTGCAATGTGTTCTGATTGGCAATGATAACGACAAGGAGAACCTCGATTCCAGCTAAAACTCAGAAAAGAACCAAAGAAAATCGAAAGGGAATTGTAAAATACCTTATCTAGTTGACGCTAACAAGTTTATACAAGCTGAGTTTAAGATAGAATACCTAATAAATAGACCAGATGAACTACAGTTTTATACTGGCTTTGATAGCTATGAACATTTTATGTTTATCTTTAACTTATTTGGCTCCCAAGTAAATAGACTGAAATATTATCCGGATTTTAAAGAGTGTACTAAACCCAGGATCTTGTCTCCACAGAATGAGTTTTTTTTAACTATGGTAAAAATCAGGCGAAATATGTGCAACAGAGAAATTCACTTTAGATTTAATATCAGCGCATCTACTGTTAGTAATATTACTTGGATACATTTTTTATACTGCCAATTCAAAGAATTAAATATGTGGACTCCTGGGAAAACTATTAACGAAAATTTAAAAATTAGAGGACGAGATTGTGAGACTTCTGTAATTATCATTGATTGCACAGAAGTAAAACTTGTACATCCCAAAAATCCTCTAGCTCAACAACAAACATATTCCACGTACAAATCTTCCAATACAGTAAAAGTTTTAGTTGGTATTTCTCCTACTGGAACGGTTACTTTTGTATCTGACGCATATGGAGGATCAACAAGTGATCGAGAGTTGTTTGAACGATGAGGTTTGATAGACCTTCTTAAAGACCAAGACAACATAATGTGCGATAGAGGCTTCAATATATAAGATATTGTTGCACATAAGAATGTGACCGTTAATATGCCAGAATTTCTAAAGCACAATGCAGGTGAATTTGAGCCAGAACAGCTAGTACGTTCCAAAAAAATTTTATCAAAAAGAATTCATATAGAACGAGTGATAGGACTGGGCAAGACATATAAAATATTAAAGGGCATGTTTGAAATAAATCAGCTCCAGTTGACTGGACGTATTATTTTCGTTTGTTTTATGCTTACTAACTTTCGAAGTAATATTGTTATTTCCAAATTATAGAGTTTCTAGATTTTTTATCAATTTCAATGAGTTGTAAGATAAATTAATAAAAAGAAATTACGCATAATTATTTATGGATAGTGGATGAGATTAAGCAGTCACACCAAAATAGGTAACGCTTATTTGGGTACAGTCAAAGTTTGGTACAGTTGGCTCGAGTCGACTTCAGCCAACCGAGAGAGAAAAACAGTCAGCAGTTTGTTTATTTAGAGAAGGGCCCCATACACTATACGATGAAACACGACGGTTTTCATCGCCACAAGGAAACACGTCATTTTAAAACCGAAGTGTGTAGAAAAACGACGGTTTTCTACAGGGCCCCACAGACTACGATGAAACACGACGGTTTTCACCGCCACGATGAAACACGTCTTCCCAAAACCGAAGTGTGTGGTAGAAAACCGTCGTGTTTCATCGTCGGTTTAAAATTCAGTCCGAGCTTGATTTTTGGCACGACGGTTCAATATTTCGTACACACGAACGGTTTTCTACCACACACTTTGGTTTTATAGCGACGTGTTTCATCGTGGCGATGAATACCGTCGTGTTTCATCGTAGTCTGTTGGGCCCTGTAGAAATCCGTCGTGTTTTTCTATTACACACTTCGGTTTAAGAACGACGTGTTTCATCGTGGCGATGAAAACCGTCGTGTTTCATCGTAGTGTATGAGGCCCTACCTACGTAGGTATCCAATTCAATAAAAGAATTTTTGAACTGAAGTGAAGATTTAGGCATGCTTAGCATTTTTTTGTGGGAACTGAATGAAACTGAGCCGTCAGATGACGATCAGTCGGAGCAAAATTTACTAGAGTAGGTAATTTATACACAGTTTTAATTGTATAGGTAAAGTGCGACAAGTGAGTGAACCTTGGTAACGTATGAAGAAGCAGAGGGGAAGACGAAAACCTATACTATACGACGCGACGGGTCCCCCACGTGGTGTATTGCGAAAATTGCGTTTACCCTGACGCGACGACCCGCGTATATTTATATTTAATCTCGGGCCAATTAGGAGGGTTTTGCCCGCATTCCTTCCATACAGGTTCACTCACTTGTCGCACTTTACCTACATTGTAAATATCCTCTTTTTTCTTGGCAATATTAAACTATCACATTAAGCCAAGACTATCTTGATAGCCAACAAATTATCTATTTTTGTTACAAAAAATATCTCAACAATCACAAAAAAAAATTGACTATGAACTACCTACGCTTTAAATTTAAATAAAGTAGGTAGTCTTTGGGTAGGTGATACATCTTTAATAATACAACGATAATACTAAATTGAAAACAAAAAATGTAACATAAGGTACCTAGGTATCACGTATCACGTAATAATCACAGCATAGATTTACTGATGTAACCCCTTAGTCAATTTGATAAAACTTTTGCGAAATAGCAGGTAACATGTAGTCGTCGTAAAACTTTTTCACAAGAGGAATGATTTCAGTTATAATTAAATCGACATCTTAATCCACAGAAGAAGAAGATTATCGCAAGTGGTCCATATGAAAAAATCACAAAAATCTCTTCCAGGTGTAAAGAGTTGTGTTTGCACTTGGTAATAATAGGGACTAGACTTTTTGAGGCGTACAGACCCATCATTTTTCACATATTGAATGTGTTTGTAGTTTTCAGGTGATATTGTACTATTTCTAATGCTCCAAGGACATTTCACTTCAAGTACTGTTGTTTGTGCAATCAGCCCATCTGGAGAAGAAGCTAAATAAGGTTCTTTGATAGACACAAACAGACCACATTGCTGAATATTGTTGCCAGTTTTCTGCTGATATGCGTCCTTTGCCATTACTTCCTTAGATTTTCCCCATATAATTGGTGGCTTATTTAATGGTTTAGGATCAATCAGTCCTTGGGCAAAAGCTTTTTTATCTCGTTTCTCGGTAAACCGACAAATCTGTCCTACGCTTGAAGCCGTAATTCGATATTTTCGTTCGGCATGCCACATTTTGCAGTTAGCTTGCTTTCTGGTATTTTTTTTTCAATTTGAAGAGCTGTTTCAAAAGAGACCTGCAATGGTACAACAGTTTAGGTTTTTGATGAAGATGTTTAATAACATAAAGTAGACGACCTCAATTTTGTTTCGAATAAACTGATGGTGAATTGGTAATTCAAGGTAATTATGATCATTGACTATTCCTAACATAGATGCGACTTCAAAAATGCCGGAAATTCCTAAGGGTCCATTCCTTTGATTACAAAAATTGATAGTCATATTCCTAACATTATCAGTAAAGTTGGGAGAATTCACTGAGTCCTGCGGTCGAGGATCGTAACAAAGCTGTTCCCTTGTTCGTTTTACAACATTATACAGCGGGACATCAAAACATAGTTGCTCAACTTTTTTAGGAAGTTTTGTAACTCGGCTTTTCTTTGGTAAATGCCAAATTTGTTTTTTCTGTGTAACTGTTTGTTTTAGCATCCAAACCGAACTTTCTTTAAATTTAAGCACCGCATAACAAATAACCGCTACATGCTTACAAACAGCTTTCCAAGATTTTCCTGCAGCACATTCGCAGTTTGATTGTATGATCTGTCCTTCTGTTGAAATTACGACTTTCACAAAGTATGTTAAAGCTTTTGTATTTTCTGAGTTCACCTGGCCTTTGTAAAAAAAAAAATCTTCAATTTTTGCTTCAATTATTGCAGAAATAAATTCATTGCACATCATTCCATATGCTTTTCTGTGCACCGCTTCATATTCACTCATGGCAAGATTGTTTTTATAGGCGCTTAAAAAGTAAACGCTTTTGGTAACAATATCGATTTCTGGAGCAGCAGAAGGCAAGCTGACGCTTCTAAAAATATTATCTACGGGCCACTCAACGTTTTGGAAGTTGTCGTTAGGTAGCTCTTCAACAATTTCCCCTGCAAAATTGTCGTTCCTGTCGTAATCCTTGAGTCTAAAAATTTCATTTGGTTTTATTAAAAAAGTTTCCACTTTACAAATTATATATGCTTTACATATGCATATATTTTAAAAAGGAAGAAATATACATAAACCTTTGAATTAATTCTTCCTTTGAGCCCGAACATTTTGCACCTCTCAGTCTTAATTGATTTTTTAAGTTATTCACTGTCCATTGTCCATATTCATTCATATTATTTCTTTCTACTTATTTAAACGGTTTAAAAAAAAACTGATGACATTTTGAAACCGCCAAAATTCAAAGCACTCCAAGTTCACTCGCGCCCTCTACAAAATTTTGGAAAACTAAACTGGATATTTGCTGCCATTAAATTCACTTTCCGCTTTCCGGCTGTTTTCATAGTAGATCTGGGCCGGTATTCTCGTTCTCAAAAACGCTCACCGCTTTTCAGTCGCTCAGCACTTTCAATGTAAATTTACATTTAAAGTGCCGAGCGACTAGAAAGCGGTGAGCGTTTTTGAGAACCAGAATACCGGCCCTGTTCCAAGAACGATAAACACAGAAATAACAAACCAGTCAGAATCAATTTCATTGGTCGAAACAAGGCAAAAAGTCACGTCCACTGAATGCACTCAACTCCCTCAAGAATGTCACCTTCTCCTAGAACGGAAGTAGGAACATCAGTAGCCGAATTCTATTTTACGAGTCGAGTCGAAATTTGTATCGAATAGTCAAAATAGCAATTCTATTTTTCGATACGTTTCCCTCGGTACGTCCGGAGCTGTCTTATTCGATATCGAGTGTCGATAGCTTTGTTTTGGTTCGAAATTTGGAACGATTCTGGAATTGCGCACAGCTGCTTGCGCATAAAAAATAATAGAGGACTGTTCTAATACTAGTTCTGAAACGATTCGGAACCAAAAAACCCAAACCACGCCGCAAAACACAAAATTCTAAAACAGTTCAGAGCAAGAACTGAGAGAACCGTTCTAGAACAATCCCAGAATTGTTCTTAAATAGTTCTAGATAAACCAAAACACTGTCAACACAATTCGATTACGATTCTGGAAAAAACGAAAACGCTTTTTATAACATCGCCTGACTTTCAAGCTCGATATTTTTAGAATCAAAACATCAACCTTTGGTTTCCATACACAATTTTTTTCAAAAAAAGTCAATCCCGTGAAAACCGGAGGTCGATATTTGCTCTGGTTCCAAAAATATTGAGCTTGAAAGCTAGGTGAAATTTTTCTTCTGTTCGAAAGCAATTGTCCAGCAGTTTAGTTCTGATTGAAACCAAAACAAAGCTATAGTGAAATTATTTAAATAGTGTATGCACGTGATCACTGCCTCCTATACTTAACAAGCTATGAAGTTGGAAATGACGGCAACGTCGCGTATGGTGCTATTTTGTTATTGGGTTATGTGTTTCTGTGTATTGCTTTCATTGTGTATTGTTGCAGTTTAGTATTTTTGTGGGCATTATTGACGAAAAAGTGGATAGAAACACACCAATATATTGCCCATATTTAGTTGATACCTGTTCCTTTGTGCTTTGATTGCAATTTTTTAGCAAATGGGTACAGGAGCAAAAATGAAGGTAAGGTAAGATAAAACAATAAAAAGAATATTAATATTTGTCTGCAAGAGCATATGTATCGATATATTACCTAAGATATTTAAACTTGTTCCAGATGCCATGAAACTACTGTGTTCCTGGGTGCAAATCGAACTATTAGGAGTTCCTTAAAAACTGAAGAAATGCAAACATTTTCATTTCCAAAAAAATTCTGAATTGCAAAAAATGTGGATGAAAGCAATACACCAAGATTATACAATAACGAAAAATTCTGTGGTGTGTTGTAAACATTTTGAAGAAACCGAAATAATTAGATTTGAAACAAACAAGGATAAAGGCGTAGTTCGAGAGTTCGAACTGAAACGTCCAACTCTTAAAAGTAGGTACCTCTTATTTTCGAAAATCAGCTCAAGTATTTGAATGGACCTGCCTTCCGAAAAAATCCCGAAGAAAGAAAAAGTTAGATTTTTCAAAAGACATACTGAAACATAGGCCTATAACACTTTAGACTCTAGAAATATATTCATTTAAATCAATTATTTACTGTTCTTATTTACACAAATAGTTATATTATTCATTGAATTACTGTTTTTGGCCCTTTAGTACAATAAATTATGCATTTTTCGTGATTCATATTATTAAAATAAAAAATATATATTTATAAAAACAAACACCACCAGCACCACTTGGCGGTAAGATTGCGGTGTTGCCTTTTTAACTTCATGGCTTGTTAAATGTAGGAGGCTGTGACGTGATCAATGACGTCGAAATAATTGCCAATTGCAGTTTGTAAGAAATTAAAATTCGTTTCAAGCTGAGAGCTCATTCTCCTTTTTATTTAACCTTAGTTAAAAAAAAAGACAGAACACTGTTGGCTATTAACCGAATCGGCCGATAAAATGTTGCCAAATATTGCAGAGAAAAATTGATTAATGTTCCTAAAAGAGAAGATCTGACAGAAAAATAGATTGAATTTAGAGTACCTAACTATACCTAGGTATATATTTATTCTTGTGACACTTGGTTTTGATATTTATTGGAAAAAAACCTGCATTTGATCCATTATAGGAAAACCTAGTAAACTTTTAGATAATAGACCACATAGACTGGAACACTAATACTCCGTTCTAACTTTTTAAAAACAAAATAACACCAAAACTTGTAAAAAAAGCTGCGAAAACCGCATAAAACATAACCGGACTAATCTACACCAATGTAAATAAATGATTTGTTTTACCTCAGGATGTAGCATTTTCAATTTCTTGTTTGATATGCTACTGTGTTTTGCTCTAGTAGATATGATTCTATATAGAACTACAATGAAATAAATGAATAAACAACTGTCTTATCTGTGCCCAGATTTTGTTACCTTGATTACTGCCTTCTACTGAAAGTTTTTTGTGCAGGTTTGCAAGTTTTGTTGATTGATCTAGGAAGGTTTGATTCAGTACGGCAGGGCCCGCTGTTATTGATTAGAATCTTATATAAAGGAGAGATTTTTTTTCATCATCTCTGTTTGCAAATCTAATTGATAAATAAATAATCTGAGGTTATGATAATAATTGTTGTTTATTTTTTGATTTTTCATTTCCATCATGTCATTGAACAGCTGTTTTGTCTAGGCGTTTTCTTTAGACCTGTTCTACTTTTTGATATATGTTCTATAGGCATTTTTCAATATTCACAAGTCATTTTTATACAACCAAACTTTCAGTTCGTATTCTTGGAGTGAAATTGAACACGCTTTTTTCTATAATTTTTTTCAATGTCAAAATTAGAAGTTTGACAAGTGAAAGCCTTCTTCCGAAATCTAAAGGAAGAATCAGCCCTTTTGATCTTGAGACATTGTCTACATGTGGCGTAAACAATAAACTCATTTTAGAAAATGTAAAAAAAAGATCCAAAATTACTACCACCTAAGTAGCTAATACCTATCACTTTGATATCAGCATTCACTGATTATAAATATGAGGAAAACCGATAATAAAATAAAAATAATATTCGGAAAGGAAAGTGTGAGGTTAGAATTAGACGTCATTTATAATATTTTACATTGTTGACACGTTGTCTACATTGTCTACAATTGTCTACACGTAAAGTAGACAATGAAAGTCTACGTGTAGACGCACATCCCTGATGGTTTGACGTCACAAGGCGCACTTGCGCCCTGTATTTCTAAATTTAAGTTTGCATCACTGACAGAATTTGCTAGTTGTCTAGTTGGCTACCCTGCGACTAGCATATGTCCCTCTTCTTTTAGAGGTTATGTCAGTTGTTTTGTTATTTATTTTGATTCGCCTCCATAGACTGGTTGATTTATAAAATAAAAAATAAATACTTATTTCACCCGTTTATTTGTTTGGTTTATGTGAGAAGATGGATAGTGGATTTATTAAGGCCTCCAGCGAAAATTTACCTCAACTAAATTATGTGATGCTGCAAGAGTTTTTTGCCAAAAATACGGATTATTTAAGTGCAGAAATAAGAGGAGTCAAAGAG